TAAGCGCTATTTTTCAAATTACTTGCCTTTTTAATCAGATTAATGACTTGAGTCTCGTTCTGTAAGACCACCTTGACTTTTCTGTTTTTCCCGGCGCCAAATTGTCCCAGTCTAATTACTGGTGCATTTTGTCGCTGGAAATGATGATCCACCACTCTGAAAATTTTCCCTACTATGCAAAGAAGAGTCGTGCGTTCACTGTTAGGTCTGAGCAGAAGGACCAGCTGCAGAGATTCTTTCAAGCGGCTGGGAATATTAACTTTACCATCAATATATATCTTTGAACTGTTGACAAATGTGAAATCTAACCTAGCTGAGTTTCCAAAATTGAATGATCATAATAAGTACTTGACTAGCAATTCGCTTGTCCTGCATATTCCTGCTCATAGGCTGTTAAGAACAGAGGCCAGCCCAAATTAAATGGGTATTAGGCTGTTCAATAAATTGCCAAACACCTTTAAAACTTTGCCAATGCCATTATTCAGACATAAACTCAAAGCTCTATTAAGACACAGAGCGTACTATTCTTTGGACGAATATTTCTTAGATATCCAGCTAGATCAAGATGCCTAACTATACCAGCTCTGTGTTAGTCCCATATACATTTTTTACTGTAGCATGTTATTTCTGGTTCTTGTATTTTATTTATATATTTTAACTTTGCCGATTTATTTTAATATGTACCTGTTGTATTTTTGTTCATTGTTTTTCTGACTGTCATATATTTAATATGTGTTTTGTTTTTGTTTTTATTTATCTATTTTGTAATGCTTGTCTTAGTTTCAAGATAGAGTACCTTGACCTGTTCTATGTCATGACAAATGATCTACAGAACAAATGAAGATTATTATTATTATAGTTATGATGCAGAAAAGGATGCACGTGGAAGAAGAAAATGCTTAGGAAAGCATCCTTACCGAGATGATAAATAGATATTCTTGATGCTTTCCAGACCATTCATTACTCATTACTCGTTTTGTTCGCCTTATTGTACATCTATCCATTATAAAATATCAAGTATATTGTATTGTCTTGTAAAAGTAAAAATAAAGTTTTTTTAAAAACCCGAACGGCCATCTCGGCAACATAACTGGCGCAGTCAGCAGTAGGATAAAACGCAGTTTTCCGAAAATTCGCGGTATCGTGACCGGTTTCGTGAAAACGTGGGTATCGTCCCTTCGGCGTTCGACCTACAGAAACGAACGAGAATCCACAGCCCAAGAGCGAGAAGTTGGCCCCTTGCTTCTGCCTGCCGCCTTCCAAGAAGATAGGAGTAGAAGGTAAGAGCCAAAATTCCTTTTCGCCCCATTCAAATTGATTTCCCTGTATAGGAGATCTTATTTGAAAAGTTGTGATTTTATGTCATTATCAGACATTATCAACGAGTTAAATAACTTAAGAATTAATAATACTGATTCAGAATCAGAATATGAAGAAATGGCATTCCCAGAAAATAGCTTACAAATGTTACGCATGTTTGTAGATACAATACCAAATTTTGATGGTAATTTCAATACACTACCAAGCTTCATTTCATCATGTGATTATCTATTCGACACATTCAACACTTCTGAAGAAACGATTAAGAGATACTTATTGAGAGTGGTACAGACTAAATTAGTTGGTAAGGCTCAACTTTTAGTTGCCTGTAGAACAGAATTAAATAGCTGGTCTTTAATAAAAAATGCTTTAGAACAGTGTTTTGGTGATAATAGAAGTTTAGAATGCTTGGAACAAGATCTATTTCTGGCCTCACCAAATAGAAATGAGTCACCCTTAGATTTTGGAAAAAGACTTCAAATTTTAAGGAGTACTCTTGCACAGAAATTGAGTATTTCAGACTCAACGCCCGAAGTAAAAGTCGCAATGATGAAGCAGTACGACGGTATCTGTTTGAGAGCATTTGTGCGCGGATTATCAGGACCTTTACAAACGGTTATTCGTTTGAAAAATCCTTCATCTCTAGAAGAAGCAATGGCATATATTATTGAGGAAGAAAATTTCCAGTATACGCAAAACATTTTCAAATTCCCAAATCACTCAAAGACTCTATGTAGTAACACACAAAATTCATATTCCAAACCACAGACAAAGTTTGGACATTCAAATAACAATTACCGTAATCAGGCACCAAATCAGAATTTTCATTATCAAAAATTTCAAGCTCCTCATCAGTCCAATTTTCAACAAAGTTATCGACCCCCACAAACTTTTCCAGCTGACAGAAACCGGAATAATTTCCCAAGTCAGCCGATAAACATCCAAAGTCGAAATAATAATTTTCAAAAACGCTATCCAACAAATCAAGAAGTTTTCGGACCACCCAGAAACACGAACGTCTTCAAGCCCAGGGGAACAGTACCGCATAATTCCCCACAGCCTATGTCAGTTTCAACCACAAATACTTATAAACCGAACTATCCCCAAAGGCAAAATCATTTCCAGCCCTCGGGACCCAGAAATTTCATTGCGGAAGAACTATATCAAATAGATGACACTCAAAACGACGAAAGATACGAAACCGAACAACCCGAAAGAACCAGAAATCGAAAACCATTTTCAAAAACTCAAAATGTTGAAGCTCAACATGCTTTTGCCTCTTCGTCCACAAATTATGAATCAGATGCAAATTTTTATTACAAGGGCCAAGGCACCCACAAAACAATCGAAATCCATTCCGATCTTGACAACTCTTTACCCTACATCAAAATTCAAAATCCACCCTTAAAGTTACTCATTGACACAGGATGTTCACATTCGATGATACGCCCTAGAATAGTAGAAAAATACTTTCCAGAACGTATTTACCATTTAGTTTCAAGATTAAAGACAGGCGTAGGAGAAAAAGAAGTTCAATTTAAAGCCGATCTGCCATCATTCTCAGAATTTGAATCAGATGATTTTATCACTTTCATTTTATTTGATTTCCATCCATTTTTTGACGGCATATTAGGATTAAAACAATTACTACGTTTAAATCTCAACATAGACCTTACTAATCGACATTTAATTAGTGAGTCATTGCGTATTCCCATATTTTTCCGTGAACTTGACACTGAACCATATAGCATAACGATAAATGCACACGAGGTAGCTCTTATCAAAGTTCCTGTGAGCATTAACAATAGCCCCGTTATAATCCCTGAAGGTGAAATAAATGGCTTATATTTCCCTGAGACCTTGACAACTTCGAATGAATGGTTTGCTTATACAGAAATTTATAACCATTCAGATGAACAAATAACGATAGATTTTTCAAATCCGTTAGACGTAATTGAATATTCTAAAGAAGTTAGTGATAACTTTTATATTTTTCATATTGAGGATATTATTGGTGAACTAAAACATAGTGACGAAAGCATACAGAAAGTATCGAAATTAATTAGGACTGATCATTTGAACTGTGAGGAAAAACAGACTTTATTAAAAGTTTGCCATGAGTTTAGGGATATATTTTACAATGAAAACAAAAAGCTAACGTTCACTAATATTATTAAACATGAAATAAAAACTACTGATGAAATTCCAGTACATACAAAAAATTATCGTTATCCCTTTGTTCATAAAGAGGAAGTTCAAAGACAGATAAATAAAATGTTAGACGATGGAATTATACGTCCTAGTCAAAGTCCTTATAGCTCACCTATCTGGATCGTTAGTAATAAGATGGATGCTAGTGGGAAACAAAAATGGAGAATAGTAACAGATTTTCGAAAGCTGAACGAAAAAACAATAAGTGATCGATATCCATTACCTAATATTAACGATACATTGGACAAGTTAGGTAGATGTCAATACTTCAGTACTTTATATTTAGCTTCCGGATTTCATCAAATAGAGATGCATCCAAACTCTATCGAAAAAAACCGCTTTTAGTGTAGAACATGGACATTACGAGTATACCCGCTTACCATATGGTTTGAAAAATGCCCCAAGTACATTTCAGAGAGTAGTTGACAATGTTTTACAAGGATTACAAGGCAAAGTTTGTTTAGTATATATGGACGATATTATAATTTTTTCCACTAGTCTTGAAGAACATATTGCAAATTTGAAATTAGTATTTCGGAGACTAAGGGACACACAATTGAAAATTCAACCAGACAAATGTGAATTTTTATGCAAAGAAGTTGAATATTTAGGACACGTAGTTACTTGTAAAACCGAATCCCAAAAAGATACAAGCAATAACACAATTCCCAATTCCAAAAACAGTCAAAGAAATCAAATCGTTCCTAGGTCTTTTAGGTTATTATAGACGCTTTATCGAAAATTTTGCCAAATTAACAAAACCACTTACGAAATGTCTTAAGGAAGGATCAAAAATTGAACATAATGCAGAATTTATCAAAGCTTTTGAAACTTGCAAAAATATTCTAACCAACGAACCTATTTTACAATACCCAGATTTTGAAAAGTCTTTTATTTTGACTACTGATGCCTCAAATTACGCAATAGGTTGTATTCTTAGCCAAGGAAAAGTAGTACAGGATCGACCGATTGCCTATGCATCACGAACTTTAAATCCAGCAGAATGTAATTATAGCACAATAGAAAAAGAATTATTAGCAGTAGTATATGGTGTGAAATACTTCAAACCATATCTATGGGGACGTGAGCTTACCATAGTTAGCGACCACAAACCCCTCGAATATTTGTTTAACATGAAAGAACATAACCCCAGACTTTTACGTTGGAAACTGTTTCTTGAACAGTTCAATTACAAAATTCAATATAAACCTGGAAAAATAAAAAGCAATGTTGATGCTTTATCTCGCGTAGAACTTAACGCCATCCAAGATGAAACGGATCAATCAATAATTGAAGCGTGGTATTCCCAAAGGGTCTAAGTGCCAATATTTCTGAATTTCATATTTTTCCTCCAAAAGGATCTACATGCTTTAATGCATGCATTAGAAAAGGGTCCAAGTACATATCCGACGAAAATGTATTTAATCTCCCCATTTGATAGATGGCGTTCTCGTACTCGCTCGTGACTTGTTCATTGAGAAGGGTCTAAGCGCCGAGTACAGGCGTAATATTATTACGTGCATTTAATAATAAACAATGAGTGAAAATCAAGTAAACAACCCAAAGCGACGTGCCCCAGGGTCTGAAAATAAAAAGAATGAAATGAAACGACTGAAATATAGTGGTCTGGCATATCACAATCGAAGTAACAAGGATATTGCTGCTAAGAAGGCGCCAAGTTTTGAGGTTAGTTGTGTTTATTTCTATTGTTTTAGTCAACAAAAGTAAATAAGTTTGTTTTATTCCAGGTATTTTGTAAATGTAAATATGAGTGCAGAAAATTGCCCTATGAGCAAAAAATATTTTTATTTGAAGATTATTATAAAATAGCTAATCATGTGAAGCAAAAATCTTATCTGTTGGGACTCATACAAATTGGCAGTGTAAAAAGAAGACGTCACGGAAAATATGAATCTGCAGAACAAAGTCGTCGACAAGCTACTGCATGGTACACGGTTCCAAACGGAAATGGCCAGCATGTGCAGGTTTGCCGTCAAACATTTCCAAACATTTTTGCCCTATCACACAAGGCAGTGCAAGTTTTAACAGAAAAAAAAAGTTGGGAGAAACAGTGTATACAGATAAAAGAGGCAAGTCAAATGAACCAAGAAAGTATACAACAGCGATAAGAGACCAGGTTAGAGAACACGTACAAAGTTTTCCTTGCGAAGAGAATCATTATAGCAGAAGCAAATCACAAAAGAAATTTCTGAGTCCAGATTTGAATATAAATCGCCTATACTTGGCATTTAAAAGACAGTTTCCCGATACAGAGGTTACTTATAAGTACTACTTGACAGTATTTAAAAAGGATTTTCCGCATTTATGATTCGGTCGCCCCAGAACGGACACCTGCTCAGTTTGCGATCTTTACAAAAATAAAATAAGTTATGCCCAAAATCAAACAGAAAAGGATGAGATGAAAGCCAAACTTGACCTACACCACAGAAAGGCGGAAAAGGATAGACTAGAAATGGAAAAAGACGGTAATTTGTCACAAATCCCGACGGCCAGCATTAGCATGATGTCTATAGATTTAGAGCAAGTTTTATTTTTGCCAACACTTACACATACGCAGATGTTTTATAGCAGACAGCTTTCGTGCTATAATCTAGGAATACACATATCTGATACTGGAACTGCTCATATGTGTCTTTGGGACGAATCCATAACAGGTAGAGGAGCTAATGAAATTGGATCTGCCCTTTTAAAGTGCCTTAACTTGCCAGCTTTGAATATGAAAAAAAACTTAGTGATTTGGTCGGATAATTGCATAGGACAGAACAAAAACAAAATGATGCTTTTTTTGTTCATATATTTGGTCCATAATGGAAAGTTTGAAAAAATTGAACAGAAATTTTTAGTTTCCGGGCATTCCTATTTGGCATGTGATAGGGACTTTGCGCAGATTGAGCGTCGTAAAAGAGTCACAAAAAACTACGTACCGGATCATCTTGAAAAAATGATTAGGAGTGCACAACATAAAAATCCATTCAATGTCATTCGTATGAATAGAGAAGATTTTAAAAATCTTCAAGAGATTTCCGATAGCTTTTTAAACACGACCAAACTGAATATATCCAAAGCTTGTTGGATAGAAGTTTCTAAGAAAAATCCAACTTTAGTCAGAACAAAAACAACGTTTAACGAAATGGAAGAATGGACCTCTTGTAACGTTTTAAAACGAGGCAAAACTTTGAGTGACCTTAAAACAACACCGTTGCCACAGTTAGATTGCAAAAACCCCATATCTCAGGAAAAGGCCAAAAATTTAGAAGACATGTTAGATTACATACCACTTGCATATATCTCATTTTATACCGGTATCATCGAAAAAACCAAGCAAAACAATCCAGAGTAAACATTTTGAATGGAATTACTGGTTTCACATAGACCCTTTTACAATGACACGATGCATTAGACATAGGACCTTCTAAAAATTTAATATTTTATTTTGTGTTCCAAAATATATTTCGTTTATTTTTGCTACCTTTTCTCGTAAAATGTTAAATAACCTGATGTTTTAATCGAATAAATTTACTTTCATATTTTTTTGTTTTATTTGACATCGCTACATCACAAGAATATCTTATTTCTTCATTTTCTCGGAAGTAAAATTTTCGCACTTAGACCCTTTGGGAATATAACGCTTCAATTGCAAATCTTGGAGATTCTGATGAAGATATCCTTCAGTTTCTACAAGACGATGATAACCCCGAAATAAATATTGAAGACTTACAAGAACTAGAGGAATTTCTCATCCCTGAAGTTCCTGATAACCCTAACAAAATACAAATAATTTCAGATATCCAAATTGTACCCCCTCAGCCAAGTGATGACAGTATTACAGTCCATACAGCAGTAGAAAACCCCATATTAGAGATACCCTTCACTGAATATGTTACTAACAAATTTTCTAATCAGATAATTATAGAACAGAAATCATCCTATCGATATCATAGTGTAAGGACTAAGCCCTTCGAAAATGTTAATAAGATACAGTTACAGCTTAGCGATAACATAGAGGAAGAAATCATAAAGTTTTTCAAAGACTATGTTGATCCAAACAAAGTATATTGTATTTTTGTCAAAGGTTCAGAAATTGAAGATTTAAATATCCAGATTAGCAAAATACTACCATTGTATTTCAAAAACCACGCATATAAACTTTATTTTTCCAATCAGCTTGTTAGAGATATTTCAGACAAAGACAGACAAAAAGAATTAATCTCTCATCATCATGAAACAAAGACTTGTCACAGAGGAATTAACGAAACGTTACTTTCCCTTAAAAAACTATACTACTGGAAGAATATGTAAAAAATGGTAACAGAATACATAAATAATTGTGAGTTATGTCAAGTAGCAAAGTATGACAGACATCCACCAAAAATAAAATTTTCACTTACACCAACGCCAAAGCAACCCCTAGAAGTCTTACATATGGACACTTTCCAATTTTCTAACACAAAATTTCTTACTGTTATTGATTCATTTTCAAAATATGCACAAGCCTATCATTTAGATCCAGTTTGTACAGCCACAACAGTGTATGAAAATATTTTGATATCTGTGAATCATCACGGCATTCCTCAATCAGTTACTACTGATAACGGAAGAGAATTCAATAATTCCTTATTTACTGAATTTTGTAAATTACACAAAATCCAGCTTCACTTTACTACACCATGTAATTCGAATAGCAACAGTCCCATAGAACGATTACATTCAACCCTGCTAGAACTCTTAAGAATTCTAAAAATTAAATTTCCAAAATTATGTCCAAAAGAACTAATGCAAAATGCAATTTTGGCATATAACACGTCAATTCACAGTGTTACAAAACAACGACCATTCGACCTTATAAATGGCCGCTTAGATGTCCTAGATCCATTTGACCTATCAGATGAGATCATTGTTAGCCAATTCATTGATGATAGACGTGAAAGACTAAAATTCATTTACAACAATATACACCAAGCAACAGACGCTCATAAAAAGAATATTATAGAAAAGCGTAATAAAACTAGAGAAGATCCATCCAAATTCCCCCAAGGTTCGAAAGCATATGTCAAAGATAAAACCGCTTCTTGGAGTAAATTAAAACCAAGATTCACAAAAACTGAAGTTAAGAAAGATTTAGGTACAAAAGTACGGACTATCAATAAACGCAAAGGTTTAGTACACAAATCTCAAATTCAAAAACCTAAAGCTTATTCTTCTTTTCCGCAGGATCATGAATCTGGAAATCAAGAAGGTTCCGATAGTCATTCTATCCCTTCTACTAGTCGCGACAACCAAAGCCAACAATGACGCAGTTGTCACACCCTTAAAAGCCCCGCTTTTCCCTTATTCGCTAGGTAACGCTAGTATTATAGAATCGTATCATACTTTTATTCACTTTGTAGAAACTACTTCATTAACAATTATTAACGAATATCCAAAATTATTACGAAAAACTCCAAAATACTATCAAGCCTTTAAATGCTGATCATTCAGACTTGCACTTTGGATTATCAAATCTCCTTAAGCATACGAAATTTCTGATACAAGAAGCTACACAAAAATTAGATAACATTGTTCCACGTATTCGTCAGAAACGAGGATTGATTAATCTCATAGGAAAAACTTCAAAGTTTCTTTTTGGTACAATGGACTCAGATGACGAAGTCAAAATTAATAATGCACTCCATGAATTACAAAAGAACACAAATTCTGTGCATAGTCAACTGAAACTTCAGACCTCACTAACTAAAGAATTGATAGATAATTACAATTCTACAATTTCATTATTAAACTCTAATCAGGTACAGATCAAAACGAAATTGTATCATCTGCAAAATGCGATGAATGGAACTGTAGGAAGCTTGACAGCTTATCTTCACGCTGAAAATATTTTACAGCAACTTAATCTAAATTGTCAAAATTTGATTACATTTTTAGACAATTTGGAGGACGCTATAATGTTTTCAAAATTGAACACTTTACATAGTTCTATCATATCAGTTTCAGACTTAGAGAAAAACATGAAGTATTTAGTAAAATTATATGGTAAAAAGAACGTACCAAACTTTCAAAATTTACAATCATACTATTTAGTAGCTGATCCACAAATTACATTTACTGATAATAAAATCTTGTTTTCTATAAGATTTCCTATATTATCTGATGAAAAATTCCAATTTTTCCGTCTATACCCAGTTCCAATTAGAAATTCAACCATTATTCCAACCCATCCCTTTTTGGCTCTTGGAACAAGTCATCAACAATTTGAAGAAGAAGAATGTCCAGAAATTGAAAACGTCTACTTCTGCAAGAATCGACAAGAACCCATTCAAGGTTGTCTAAACGAGTTACTGAAGAAAGCAGAATTTTCAAAATGCCAATTCACAAGGTTACAAGTATCCAGTCCTATTGTTGAAGCAATATCAGCAAAACACATTTTGGTCATACCCGCTGATCAGCCGATCACAGCAGTCAAGTTGTGTGGTACTCAACAACCACTTATTTTAGAAACGCCAAGTTTAGTCGAAATACCCGAAAATTGTGGAATACAAATCGACTCATCCAAGTTTTGGAACAAAGAGGATCAAGTCAAAGGAAACCCTTTGGTCCTTCCAGAAATAAAGTTTTGGAATGCAAGATCGAACTTTGTATCCAAGAAAGCTTTAATCCTCAAGACTATTGACCTCAGCAAGATTAAGGAAATGCAAGAGAAAGCAAATTTTCTTCAAATGCAAGAAGAAGCCGCTATTGATCCCTTAATTTGGTTTTCCAGCAGCTCAGTTTTTACTATTTTTCTGCTTGTTACAGTAGCAGTAATCTTTTGTTATATTTGGAAAAAACAAATCCAGAAGAAAAATGACCTACCCCAAGACAAGAAAGATGAAGAAAATCCCGAATCCAGTGAAGAAAGGCCCAAGAAAAATGCAACAAGAACAAAACCTACTGAAAACAGAAAACGTTCCTATTCAGTTTTCAGACTAGGTGGGGAGGAGTTATGATGCAGAAAAGGATGCACGTGGAAGAAGAAAATGCTTAGGAAAGCATCCTTACCGAGATGATAAATAGATGTTCTTGATGCTTTCCAGACCATTCATTACTCATTACTCGTTTTGTTCGCCTTATTGTACATCTATCCATTATAAAATATCAAGTATATTGTATTGTCTTGTAAAAGTAAAAATAAAGTTTTTTTAAAAACCCGAACGGCCATCTCGGCAACATAACTTTATTATTGTTGTCATTCGATGTGTGGAATCATATTTTTTCGAATTCATGTTTATACGTTTTAAATGAGAATTGAATGGGAATTACTGAGTAAATCTACTTGACAGTTTTGGGTGCTGTTATTTTTTCTAGAAAGTATCCCATGTTTTTCTCTCTAGAGGAAAAGTCGGGTAGTTGGACGATAAATCCTAGATCATTCTGGTATACAGCAAGTAATAATTCCTGTACTTGATTTCGAGCTACGACAATTTACTGGCAAATTATCTGCTGACTAATTTGAAAGTCATCAAACAGTCAGAAGTTTCTATACGAACAGCGGATTAGTTGTCGGTAATCAGTCTTAGCTCCCTCAGCCAACTCGTAACGTTCTCATGTACGCAATTTATGCAGTCAGCGACGTGTCAGTGACAGCTAGCTGAGTAAACTAGTTCATGACCTGTCGCCGACTATCAGTTTGCTGATTGTCAGCAAACAGGCTGTACGAACAAACCAGTTGCCGTCAAAAGCAACCATAACACAAAGCTTCTTACTGCACTAAGTGCATCTATAGCAGACCTTTCCTTTCTGAAACCGTATTGCGAGGGAGACAGTCCGTTAGTTTCCTCGACGTATTTTCTTAGCCTACATTCTATCGTATAAGTCATTCTAGTAGCTTTCCACGTGAATTTTCCATACACAGCGGTCTATATTTGACTTCCCTATCGGTGGGTTTCGGAGGTGGCTGAATGTTAACGTCAAAGAAAAGTTATTTTCTTCATATCTGATGAATGTCTAGCCTCCGCGGTATAAATAAAGTCACATTTAGATAGGGCGTGTCAGAACTTATGACGTCATGCTAGAATTAATTACGTTTGAACTTTTGGTGGGTATGTTTGACCACGTTTCGGAAATAGATAAAGTGAAAATACTCAATCATAATACTTTTTGGAAAGACAGTGTCAATATTTCATCAACATTTCTCTGAGAACAATAAACTTTCATACCAACATTACCTTTTACCTCAAAGGGATAAATTTATTGCCTTTATGATAGTTTTGATTTTCAGTAACTTAACAAATACATTTTAAAGTAAATAATTATATAGAGCTTTTTGGTTATGGCTCTTTTAATAAATCATCTTCCTTGGATTCTGAATAATCTATTTCTGCAATCTTGTTCAGCAGCCTATTATTTTCTTCTTTCAAAGCATTTATTGTTTTATCGTTCTCCTGAAAATGCATGAAAACATTATTATATTATATATTCCTCATTAAAAAAAATATGGTTACAATTAGCGAAAAATAAACCATTGTTGATATACCGGGTGCGGCAGAGAGGACGGACATTTTTGGGATGGGTAGTACTCTCCGCCTCAGTCTACGAGAGAGGTTGGGAGGGTGCCGTTTGGCTCGTAGGATCCTAGCATTATTTTACCAGTTGTCGTTATGGAGCCTTGGACGGTGGAGCACCGCGTTTTCGCCTATGATTGTTTCGTTCGAAATAATGAGTCAGTCATCGTCGGACAGCGTGAGTTTCGTCGCCACTTCAACATTCATCGGAATAGAGCTATTCCCTCTCAAAACACCATCCTTCGTTGGATTGAATCACTTCGCAGGCGTGGTGAACTGATCAACAGAAGACCAAGTTACCGTGAACTCAGGGCGCTACGTCGACATGATCACCAACGTCTTTCTCCCTGAATTACGACGGCGACGTGTTCCAATCCGACGTGTGTGGTTCCAGCAGGATCCATGGACGTTATTCGCCCTCTCTTCCCTGATCGCCTTATTTCTAGGTTTGGCGATGTTCATTGGCCTCGTCGGTCCCCAGATTTATCCATATGTGATTTTTTCTTATGGGGACACCTAAAGGCTAGAGTATACGCGAACAAGCCCCGAACTCTGGACGAATTGAATGGAGAAATTCGCGTGGCAGTCGCCCAAGTTGAGAGACCGATGTTGAAGAGAGTCTACGCGAACTTCCAAGAACGCCTCCAGCACTGCATCAACGATTTCAGCCACCACATGCCTGATGTGATTTTCCACACTTGACTGTCTCAAATGCTATTTCCTTCTGAACCTGATTCCATCAATAAATTTGTTTTCGAGTAAAAATTAACTATTTTATGATTTTTATAACCGTCCATCCTCTCTGCCGCACCCTGTATAACACCAAAAAAGAATAATACTTCAAAGGGCTGGGGATTGGCATAGCCATTTTTCACCCCCTCCTGAATGGCTAAGGTAAATTCATTAAGTGCATTACTATATCTTACTAGGGCATATTATGCAGGGTGTCCGCAAAGTTGGGGTTTTCCTTTTCAGAAACAACTACCCTTGAAATAAGAAAGGTAATGTGTAGTGAAACGAGGGCGACTAAGTAAAAAAAAAATAAAGGAAAAAGTACTCACTCTCCAGTTGACGAGAAGGGCTAAGTAGGTCTCTGCCCGAAATCATACCGCTCCAACAGAAAATGAAATCAGCTGATGCGCTACCGAGCAGACGCAGAAACCACATCGATTGTCTTACACTTAATCGCACATCTTCTAACAAGGAAGGCAAAATGTTGCGTAAAAAGTCTAGGTATTGCATCCCGTCCAATCGATTTGGGAGAATAAATGGTCCAATGAGCATACCGTTTACCATGCCAGCCCAAACATTCACTGAAAATGTGCCCGGCGGATAGCTTGCGGATTTTCTACTGACCAAACATGAGTGTTGCGAAAGTTATTCACCCCATTACGCGTGAACGTAGATTCGTCTGTTACCAATATGCACTTCAAAAAGTCCGGATTAATGTCATGTTGATGCAACAACCACTCACAAAACCGCACTCTTGCTGGAAAATCGTCAGGTTGAAGGGCTTGTACACGTTGGACGTGAAACGGATACTGCCCCTCTTCACGCAGCGTTTGCCACACTTGAGTTTTTGATACTTGCACTTCTCTAGCCACGTCTCTAGTGCTTGTTGAGTGATTCTCGTCTACGCGATTACCTCTACACGCGTGACCGTAATCGTCGGTTGAAGGTTGCATACTGACCTGACACACTGACCCCGACCCAGTTCTGTCGTCGGGTTGAGCCAGTGACCTTGTACCACTCGGTGATGTCGCGGCTACAGGACGGTATTCAGATATTTTTTATGTTGCAGAGCCCTTTATCTCGGTTTCCTTAAGACATTGGTGTATATGGTACTAAGAAAAATTGCTTATGTTTTCAAGATCTGCACGTCGTGTTAGGGAAAATCCCAACTTTGCGGACACCCTCTATATACATTACATGAAGGACATGTAGCCGACTACAATAATGCTAACAAAACTTTAAAATATCACAATAAAGATGAGATTTATTCAACTACCTTTAGATTCATTAAATTGCAACTGTACTAGCATCCTTTTGAATTCTCTTTTGAAGCTGTGAATGGACGTTATGACACTCGTGGACTTCCTCATTTTTTCAGTGACGCTGTTTTTCCAAAATAACTCCTTGTTTTTAACCCGTTGCCACGCACGATAAGCAGAATAAGTTTAACGTGTATCCGTTTATTGAGGTGATGCAGCTTAATAACTTAATCGCAAGGATCTTTGCTAAGCTAAAAGAGGATCTATTATCGACCACCCTAATCGCGTAATGAGAGATGACAGCGATGGCGATCTGATTGCCATAATTGTAATGTACTAGCTATCATTCACTTGTAGTAGCTGTGTGTGTTGCCGAAACGTCAAGCATGTGTTGTGGGAGTGATGGGATGTAAAATCTGCTTCATAGGTGGCACTGGCGAAGGCCATTCATGGTTTCTATGGCCTAATCATATAACATTCATTCTATAACCGAAAGGATATACCACAGTGTACAGTGATGATTAGTGTACTGATCATCTGTGGTGATGATGCTTCGGTTGATTCTTGTCTGAAATACGTTGAGTGTAAGTAGTGCCGACGCGAATATCTCAGAAACATACAGAAATAGCTATACGCTCACATTGCGTCGCAAAATGCCTTACCGTCCGGCTCACGTGGCAGCCATTTTAGTTGCTCTCGAGACGGGGATCAAGTGGCTAAGTGTGTGAGTGACCACGTAGGGGAAAGTTGCCGAAATCGTATCGTTGCCTAAATCGTACCACTGCGATATTTCAAATAAGGCGGTAAAATGTAGTACCTATAACGATTAGCCGTAGATGTCCTGCCCATCAAATGTCAGTTCAGGGGTAGAGTTGTTTTCGATGGATTGTGTTTTGCTTGGTCCCAAAATTAAGTAAAAATTTTACGGGCATTTCGATGTTAATTTTGTTGAGATTACGTAAAGCTGTAGCTTGTCGGTAAGTACTATTTATACAGAATGTTTTCTCTAGTTCTATAGCTTAGGAAGCTCTCTTTCATTTACAAAGCTTAAATTTTAAATTAAGTGTGGAAAGTAAGGTTAGAATCTCGTTTATTTATCTTCATTAAAAGTTGCCCAAATCGTACCACGTTGGGTTTCCCAAATCGTACCGGTACGATTTGAGAAACCCATGTCGTTTTAATGACTAACGTTTAAATCCACCTACCTATCTGTTTGTTCTACACAAAAAATGGTATGTATTGTTTTTATACACGGAGAAAAAAGAATTAACAAGCCTATCATCAATGCTGTCGAAATTTTCTTTTTCCAAGTTGTTTCAATATCTAACGTTTGAGTATAGGTACCTAACTATATTTTTTGAATAACCAAAAAAAAGCTGTTATGAATTTTTTTTATGTAGGTACACAGAAAAAAAGAAATACCTATTTTTCTAGAGAAAAAATCTGTTATAGAATTTTTTGATGTACACAGAGAAAAAAGATAGTTAACAAAAAATATAAGTACCTTATTTTTGCTTAAAAATAAAAATATGTTTGTTGTTCAAAAAATATAGGTAGTTTGTTATAATTTTAATGAAATATGTTAGAAAACAATGTGTATTATACAATTTTTTTTTCGTAAATAGAAAGCAAGTTTTATAAAAAAATAGCAGTAATTTAAAAAATGTTTGATTGTTTCAGAAAATGCCCAAAAGAGAATATACCAGCATATTGAAATGGTATTAAAATTTCATGTCCAGGCACCCCGAGCTTAGGTTACGTCAACCAGAGAACATTTCGATTGCGCGCTCTAAAGGATTCAATAAGACCGACGTGCATGCAGTTTTCGATGCGTTGGAAAATCTTGTTGACGAAAATGGAATAGGCGCTTTTCACATTTACAATGTCCACGACGGTACAAAAAAAATCACCAAAAGTTTTTGCTCTTAAAGGAAAACATCAAGTTGGTTTTATTGCCAGTTGACAACGAGGTATTAATACAACGTTGGTATGTTTTTGTAATGCCGCAGGACCTATGTTCCTCTCATGTTCGTATTCAAAAGACAACGTATGCACGCAGCACTCAAAAATGGAGCCTTTCCTGGTAGTATTGTGCAGCCGAGCGAAAGAGGTTACATTATTTGTTGAATGGTTGCAACATTTCATTAAATTTGTGAAACCAAGTAAAAATGAAAAATGCATAATTTTGCTCGATAGATACACTACTCATTCTGAAAACTTAGAGGCCATAATGTTAGCTAGAGAAAATGGCATAATATTACTGCAACTTCCGGGTCATACGACCCATAGGTTGCAGCCTCTAGCTGTTGCAGTTTTTAAGACCCTGGAGTCAAGCTACATGCAGGTCATGGCAAACTGGCTTCGAACAAATGTTGGTCAAAAGGTAACACAGTTTGAAGTAGCTGCTTACACAAACTCTGCAACAGCAAGTAATGCCGTAAATCGACTTAGAGCTTCGGGGGTGTGGCCTGTGAACCGAACTGTTTTTTCTGACACAGATTTTGTGGCAAGTGAAAACCTAATGATCCCAGACACTGTTGAACCCGAGAAGTAAGATACTCCTAGCGAAGTTACAGATGTGGCAAATGAAAATCGAGTCAATCTTGTCCAGGAAGATCCGATCCCATCCACAAGTAGAGTAACACAAGAAGAAAAAATGAGACCACATAAAGATAGTAAGACTGTTTTAATTGAAAAAATAAGTCCACTACCAAAACCAAAAATTGTCAAAAATTGGGTGAAAGGGCCAAAAGGGCTGCACAAAAAAGGCAATACTGACAGAAAGCCCTTATAAAAATGAGCTCGAGGAAAAATATGCTTTAAAGGCACGAAAAGATAAAATGAAGAAGGCTGAAGAGACTGCCAAAAAAAAAATTTTTCAAACCGAAA